GTGCAATCCTACATCTGTCAATGCGGATGTCAAGGCTGTCGAGTCACGCGCCCATAACGAGACGGCATTTCAGCAATGAAATCGGAGTGGCAAAAGAGGGAGATGAGGAAGGAAAGTATGTGTGTGTGTATGTAAGTAAATAAGTATGTTGGCATTGGAGGATGAGTTAGTGCTCCAAATGTGACTTCTTTTGTGTCCTCTCTCTTAATCGGCGTTTCGGTGCTTACTTCGATGTTAGGATGTGGAGTGTGGGAGAGGGACCGTGAAGTCGGTGGATGTGAGAGGAGACCGTCCTTTTCCCCATGCGTGAGAGTACGATGTGGTGGCTCAGAGGCCTCAACTACAACGATTGAGGGGTATGCGTATTTGGACATTCGTTCGCCCACGGCGTCCAATTTACAGTTGGAACGTGTTGGGTGATGATGTGTGCGTGTGCGTGTGCGTGTGTGCTTGTGAGATGGCGAGGGTTTGTTGTTGGTGGAGGGGACACCCAACTGTTCCCCTTCTCTCCCCCTCCCCTCCACGTCTTGCAGGAAAGTGGACGCAAGTGAATGCGTATGTGGTGAGTCTTCGAAGGAGTGGTGGTGGTTGTCGAGTCCACCGTGTGTGGGTAGACGTGTGGGCAGGTGGGTAGGTAGGTGGGCGGGTGGGAGGATAAGAGTGCTGCATGAAAAGGACGAGGAGAAGGGTAGAATTGGGAGTTGATTGTGATGGACAGGAAGGAGGAGGGTGAAATGGAGCGCTGTCGTTGTGCGGAAGACGCTTATTTGATGGAGTATTGGGCACTGGTAGACACATCATGAGTGAAGACTGTATGAAGGTGTGAGGTGGTGGGACGTGGTAGTGGCACCTTCAAAGCCTGCGACTTTGTGAGGAGGGAAACGGAGTGTACGACGTAGTCACCATAGAGTGGATGGAAGTTAACCGTAGAATTGTGGAGAGTGGAGCAGAAAACAGTGTCTTTCCGTTGCCTAACTGAAAGGTAAAGTTGCCCAATTTCAGTACCTTGCATTTGGGCTTTCCTTCAACTCTTATCCAATAAAGCGACTAAAACTATTAACTTGAATGCCTTTGAAAGATAGGAATTACTTGGAGAACAAAATTCCACAAATAGTAAAGGCACCTTTTCGTTCTTGCATTTGCAGCGAAGCTTTCGCCTTCATTCTGCAGCAATTCTTTATATAACCTTTTGTTTAGTAGATTAGTATAAATCTTGTCAAAATTTTAATGCAACCTTTCAGTGTTCCTTTGAGGTGAATAAAAATTGGGACCCAGGTTCGAGGAAAATAAATCAATGGCAACAAAAAAAAAAACAGAATTAAAAACCGGCTATATACATTCTAATTTCCTGCTTTCAAAATGAGGATGGCTGTTGCAATTATGCCAACCGTAGCCGCCGCCGTCGGTCCCCTTCATTCGGTTCCCACTTTCCCTCCCATGATAATGTAAGCCGCCATAGGTTTTTTTTACGCAGAAAAAGCAAATTCAGAGGTAACCAGCCAAAGAGGGGGAAGTTGGTGGTCGCATAATCAACTGAATCGCATTTACAACAGAATGCTAACTAACTCAATCTTATGGAGGCAACAAAAGAGGCAAGTGAAAGAGAAACATTCCACCATTTGCGCTGTTATTTATTGTTCAAGTCAGAAAAATGGGCCATTGAAACCAAGTATCCATCTCTCCTTCGTCGGTAATACTGCTGTCCAAAAAGTAGAAATTTTGCGTACTTAGCAAGGTCTAAAAGCGCCATTGACTTTTGCAAGCCAGTTGCCTTGCAAGAGTGGGGAATACGAAGACTAGTAAACTAACGCCTGCCTGCTTGGGCAAACGAAGTAGACGATTCGCGACCCTATACGGTCAATGCTGATGAAGGCTTCCGAGGTGACCACAAGTGGATTTGATAAAGAGAATACACGAAAGTCCAACTAAGTGCCTTTGGCCGGCACGAATATTTCTGAAAGGGATCTCAAACACCGCCATGTCCAATAAGCCTCGGCTTCTGGAAGGGGACTGACCAAACCGAGGTTAAATGAAGTTTGATACAAATATAAAATGCTATTAGCCATGACCATATGGTTATCACGCAAATTACCTTCCGACGGTAACACACAAATCAACGACATCGACTTCATTTTTTTCTAGGCTTGCGCGACGGTTTAATTCATTTGCAACTCGGTAAACCCAACGTCTCGCTTCAAGTGAGTCGAGACGTGGCAAATGAAAAATCTCTAGAGGAAGCTGCGTGCACTTGTTAGTAAATCCTTTTCTATTACACAAATTAGTAGCAAATTTTCAACACGTCTCGATGTACACCCAACAGACGCCATTAATTTGAAGACTTTGGGCAGAGTACATTAAAAGCGAGTATACCGCTGTTGATGGTTTCTGAAGTAAGCAACTTAGAAGTACCCCAAAGTCTGACAGAAAATATCACACGGTAGAAAACGTTCCTGAGAGGGATTAGAGATAATGCGCACACAATAGCCGTGACATTCACAGAAGAGGTGAATGTTAGCAAGGGGCAAGGGATCAAATGTGTGGCGATGGTAGCTACCAGTACCACTTCAAGCCTTGCTTGCATCGCTGACATTGACGTTTAATCCAGCTAAAAAAAGGCGTAGTTTACACCAAAAGAGACTGAGAGAGGTATAAAGAAAATCCCAAGACCGCCTCCCCTCGTCGCGTTGCACTAGTTGTCTGGTTTGCTTAAAGTTTACCAGCTGCAGTGGATATGCACAAAAAACCGCACATTTTCCATTCCACCATGAAAGGAATGAAGGGCCGCCCGCAGCCGCCATACACTGCCACTGACTCAACGTCCCAGTTCGGAAGCGTGAGTGACTCATGGAGAAGTCAATGACTCAGACACCGCGCCCAGTAAGAGACGAAAAACGCACTATTAGAGAGTAGAATCTGCGGCACACCAACTCACCTGAGGATGATTGGCTTGGTAAGGGAGCATGTAGAACTTCTCCGGGTAGGTGAGCAGAAAAGTGCTTGTTTTGGATAGCCAAAACGGGCGATACAGCAGGATTGCGCTGACGGCGCTGCACGCAGGGAAGGTTATTTGGGCGCTGGGGCGGAGCAGGCGATGGAGTAAAACTGGTGAGGGATGTGTTTGTAGAAGTTAACTTCGGAGGTGTCGAGTAAACCAGGGGCTCTTTTTCCACACTGCGAGCAGGCGAAGCCTGCGCTGAGGCGTTCTTTTTGAAGCGGTGGTAATTGCGCGATGCAGAGGACTGGGAACGTCCACGGAAGTGCGAAGTGAAAGAGGCATAATTTACGAGAGGAGGCTGAATTTTTGGAGCTGTTGGAATCTTCTCAGGCTTGGTATGAGATGTACCAGATCGTTTAATGAAAAAGAGGGACTGCAACTTAGAGAGAAAGGAGTCAGAGCGCTGGAGAGATGAGGTGGTATTTGCCTTTCGATTATGAGAGGCAGTGGGAGGAAGAGGAGGGATCTGGTCGTCAGTGGAGGGCTCCAAGAAAAGACAGGAGCGACAGGCGGAGCGTGAGCGCCCAATGGAGAGGGGAGAGGTGTTCTCCAATGGGAGGAACATTTCGGAGAGAACGAGACTGCGCACAGTGGGTGGACGACGAAATTTGCCGGTGGCACTATGATCGCGGCGAAGATAGACAGTAGTGGAGGACGTAGGGGCAGAATTGGAAGACACAATAGAAGCCATTTCCAAGAATGATGTTGAAAAATAATTCCCAAGTACAGTTCTTCAGTTCATCACACAGAAAATTCGTTTGAGACTAAAATGGCGGGCTAAACCATAAAAAAGAGTAAAACTACTTGAATTTTGAACAGCTTACGAGACCAATCTGTTAACTGCTTAAGAAGAATTTATGGAACAGTAATTATTACATACAATAACTCAATCAACAACTTGCAACACAAATATTCAAGTACATATTCACGGAAGCGGATATCAGAAAGACGTTTTAACCCAAGGGAATCACATAATAAGGCCAACTTATGAGAACGCATTTGAATTTTGGTTTAGTAACACTATATGGAGGTATTGATAGGAATAAGACAAAACCACATAGATACGAATATAGGCTGTTGTTTCCGCGGCAAATTACTCAGTGCGTAATTTAGAAAAGAATTACAAGTGAATAAAAGCACGGTAGAGATTCTAGTAAGACGAACACAGGCACACGCAGCGAGACCACAGAGTCCATATGAGAAGACAAAACCGAAGGAGTGATCAAGGACGAAGAAGCTGTCAAACAATGAAATGCTTCCAATTATTTAAAAGACGCTACCTGTCAAACAAATATAGTATAAATTGTGTTACGTTTAGCACTCTACAGACTTTAGTTTATAGCTGGCCAGATAAAGTTTTTAATAAAGTGCCAGGGCCGGCAGCATTCGCGCAAATGCTACTCCACCACAAGTACTCGCATGCATTTAAAATGCTTCGCAGACCACTTCCCTGAGTAGAGTAGCCTTCGGTCCATAGCTAGCCACTATCCATTCTTCCATCCTTAGAGTATATGTACTCTGCCCGACGTGATACTTTTATACTGTTTGTGTGACCACATGAGGTTTGGCGGTCACTATAGGATTTTTCTAGCTCTTACACTCGTGGGCTAGCCTTCGGGCCATATCCTATGTATTCTTCGGAATACATGTATCCAGCTGCACTTACTGACTTTTTATACCGGCTAAGAAGTCTCGGGATGCCACAGATAGCTTCTTATACCTTGTGTGAAGACTCGGGAAGCTACACATATTGCTCACAGAGGAGCATTATTCTAGCTCTAATACATTGTGGTTGTTCTAATTTTGCTTTGTGGGATATGGTCAGGAGTTCAATATGAACGCTGATGAATCTTTTTCTAACCGTCTATCTTCTCTGTAGACTGAGGTTAAGGGCGTCAAGAACGGGGGTTACCGTTCCATCGGAAAGGAATCCGTCACCGTTTGTGACATATGTATAATGCTGAGGGAGAGCACACGCTTTTAGGTGCGAGAATCCTTGACTTCCTCACAAGAGAAGGGTTGGAAACAATGCCTGCTTTTGGCTCCGTTTTATCCCCGTGTTCTACAGACAAACTATTGACAAATAAAGTCAACACGATCATGTACTAGGTTGGATAGTTTCGCGTCGGAATTTCCCCTACTTTATCTGCATATAATGTCAGAATTGATATGACGGATCCTTTTTACACAGAACTGTATCTGATCTCGTCTTCCTAGTTAAATATTTTCTTCGACCAGTTTCCCAGCTTCTAGTTCTGAAAGTAATTGATGGTTAGCAATTATATGCGGTCATATATCCTGTTGTCAAGTCGAATGCAACTTCAAGTCCGGTTGAAGCTGCTAAGGTAGCTAAGTACCATTCCTCAATCTCATGATAGTTGATAATTTGCTCGGCTGGCTCGTGGATGCTCTCTTGTAACACTGAACTTGTTGTGATAGCTGGTCCGGGAGGTGCACAAAAGGGAAGTCGAGGAAGGAGAGAAAGACGGTGTCGTAGCGTTCAGAGACTTTCTACCGGTAGAAGAAGGGAGTAAGTGGGGCTAAAATATATGAATTTTGGGAAAAAACAAAGGGATTAGGCCTAAATTTGGCCCTAAGGCCAGCCCACGCGTGCAAGAGCCAAACGGTTTTTAAAAATAACAGCTGGACACCAGGTAATAACAGGTGTAATACTTCGTTTAAGCGACCATCTGATGAATTAGGGTGACTACGGCTGGCCTTAAGGTTAAGCCAGTTTCACTCCTATCTTCTATCTGATGGGAAGTCTTGAGGCGCTACTCTAGTATACCATGAGTTCTTTTACGTACCAAAAATATTTTCTTAAACAACACACTGCCTCCATAGATTCCACTGATTCCATGGGTAAGAGCATATCTTTCCGAGGCATCCTATTAGGCACCGAATGCAAAGGGCTTGCCTGAATCCATGCAATCAGAGAGATAGAGAAAAGGTGGTGCTTTGATTGGGCATAGAGAAGCTGAATTCTTTTGTGTGATTGGTACAAGGCGGAGATTATGGGGATAAATTAGTGTGGGCATACTTTAAAACTACTTCCGACTTGTTCCACATGTTCTTCCCACAAAAGCGATCTTGGCAGCCATAAGCATTGATGTGGATAAAAAAACATGATACATGCGCATCGTACATGGTCGGGGATTTTCGTAAGGCTTGGAGGGCGGCCCACATGTCATAAATACATTTGTTTTTCGTTACTATGATGCAGACATCCTAAGCTCATGAAAGCATAAGTCTTCGCCATCTGTCTAAGTATATGCAATTTAACCATTTTCAACACTTCAATACCTCAAGTGAACGCGACTCCATTTTTGACTTAGGTCTTAATCCCAAGTGCTGCCAAATTTTTAAGATGAAAATGAGGTGCATATGAATCAACAGGGAACTTCTGATTCCCTTAAACAAGAGGGCTGGGAATAACGTCTGTTGTAGGTATTTACTCTATTTTCGTGTGTTACTGGCAAGGTGGTAATCGAAGCGATATCTATCGTGAACCATATCTTAAAGTTCCATTTGATGACGTCCGCCCACAATAATTGAGCATGGATGTTGGCAATGCGACTGTACGCAAATGCTTCTCGACGTTAGGCTGCGCAAATCAGCCCTCGATTAGAATTCCACAAATCCCTGCGCTGGCTAAACAAAACTCCAACTGAATTGCTGCTAATATTCGAGTATTCGGCTTCAGTTACATAAAAGTGGGTTTCTGATGCGACTGACCCGTCTGTGCTTTCCTTCAGCTCCGATTAGATTTTGGTGGCTGAAGAGAAAATATATCAAAGGTGAGGACGGTGAGCATGGCTTAGAAAAAGGTATGTGTATTAACTTATTAGTAAAATATCTTAATAATTGGCTGTAATATTAGCAGTTATTTTGCCTCTTTCGAGAAGGCAGTGTTTCAGGCCATGCTAGAGGTCAACCCCTTAAATTTCTGTCCGAATACAGGTACTGAGTCCCATCGTATGCTCTTTACTATGCAACGGAAAGCCTCTGGACATCAAGATGTGCGCAGATGTTAAACTCTTTCCCTCCTATTTTGATTGATTGCAATACATAAACTTTCACAAACTTATGCATCTTTAAGTTTTAGCATCTCTACTCTGCAAATAAACACTTTCCATTGCCTGTCTAGAATCGCATTGCGAAATCGCAAACTTTTAGGATATGTTGAGTTTTACAAGTATATGTAATGCTCAATGGACAACGCGATTTTTTGCATGTGGTAATCTGGCCAATAGGAGTTATGTGTGCATCAGAGAGTGTTCTTGAGAATAAGAGGTGCTTACTTTCCGAAAAACAGTTAGAATCGGTATACTATTTGAGCTCCGATAATTTTAGAGCACTACCTCAGGTAATTTACCTTCTAAACCACGAATGAAAGTCCTGTGATCCTTTTCTGGTTGCTATTTTAATTACTCTGCACTGAATGTTTATTTTTTTTATTTAAGCTTAAAAGTTAAGCTTTTACATCATCGCATACAGTACGCACGCATCTTGTGTATTTTTGTTCCTGTTATACATTCTCATCTTGTAGAAGCCCAGAGACCGATTTGACTCTGAACAGGTGAATCAAGAGGGGCAAGAAATAGTTGAACTAGAGCTGGCGTCGCAGTTTTACGCTTGGCTTGGTTCTCCTACAGAGTCGGGATCTGTTGATGGGAGTCAGGTCGAAGAGGAACTCTTATCTCGTTTCTCACGACAGGAATCCTTTTGTGAATCTATTATAAGCAAAACTGACGAGATACTATCAACACTATCTCAACTTAAGGAAAAGTATCATTCGGTTTCTGAGAAAACAAACAACCTTCATGAAACTTGTGAGAAGCTTCTCAAAGAACAAACAGATCTTGCAAAGAGGGCTGATCAGATTGAGGAGATACTTCAATTCTTCACCGTTCTCTCTTCTATAGAATCTGTGGGTGCGTTTGGACAAAATTTATTGATTTTAGAAGTTGAGCAATCGTAATTTAATTTTATCACCTGAGCGGGTGGATTCAGTTCTGCACTCGATTGATCTGAGCATTACCTTCCTCGAAGAACATGTGTGTATTTTCAAAGTTATTTTATTATGCATTTAGCCTAATTTCAAGGATTCTGAGGCATATCTTCTGCGTTTTAATGGTTGTTTAAATGCTGCCCTTCTTATGGTGAGAGATGGAATTAAGAATTCTATCAGACAAGTTGTTATGGAGATAGTTGAACTGGGTGTAAGTCTATGTCTGATATAATTAGTTTCTTTAGGATGCCATATCATCGGACAACTCTTTCATTCTCCTCTATGGTCGCTTTCGCTCCCAAGCTTCACGGATTCGCTCCCTGATGCAACTTATGGAGTCACGGGCGGATAAATCACAAAGGTATGGCAATTCCTTGTAAACGCCCTTCAACTATAGATACCGCGATGTTATAGCAGAGTGCCAAGAATACTACCTAACCAAACGTGAGGCCTTAGTAATTCCCGTGGCACGGGCGAGTATTGCCGATTTGACAGGCAAATACTCGGGCGATCACTGCGAGCTCTTTCGCACTACCATTTCTTTTATGCTTCACATGGTGGAAGATGAGTCTCTGCTATTTCGGCGATATTTTGAATCACAAGAAACGACGGAATCTGTCCAAGTTGGAAGAAATCCACCCTCTTTCGAGTATGGTGCTTCTCAAATCTTCATTAACCTCCTTCATTTTCACATTATTTGCATTGTGTGCGTTTGAATTTGAAGACTAACCGTTGCCCCCACATTTCAAACATCTTATTTTTAGCAAACATTTATGCTTCTACAAACACTAATATTAGGTAATATCACTTCCACATAGGGAAATGTGACTTACCAAAAAGACTATTTCTTCCATGTCTAACAGATCTATGCTGACAAATCTATGCAATTGTGTTTATGATGCTCTTCGGCCTTTCTTAATTCATGTCAACCACATTGAAATCTTGATGGAACTTTGCGACCTCCTCGTTCAAGAGTTCATTGAAGATAAGTTACCTGCTAATCCCAGTAAGTTCATAATGCACCTTCTGTTGGCTAATCCTCTTCTGCTTAGTTTGTGAATCCATTAGTTTCGCTTTCTTTGCTAAAGGTGTCGATCTCACTGTATTTGAGAACATGTGCCGGACTTTGCTAGCCGATGTACAACAGCGACTGATTTACCGCGCTCATGTCTACATCAAATCTCAAATCCTTGACTACGAGCCTAGCGCAGGTGATATCGCATACCCCGAGAAGCTTGAAATGATTGAGGTGTGGCATCATGTTGCAAGCTAACTCAATCTCTTCCTTCTCACCAAACTTCTTTCCTTCTCAGCAAATAGCATCAAGTCTTCAACAACAGCAGCAAGAGCAGAAGGACGGCGATGGTCAATCGAATGGTAAACCAGAGAAAAAGATTTCCTCAAGTTCTACAGACTTTCATGGAATGTGGTACCCTACAGTACGAAGGACTTTGGTTTGCATCTCCGGTCTTAGTCGATGTCTCGATGTGGGTTGTAAACTTGTTGTAACATTCTATCTGCTGAGCTGAAAGGTTATCAGCACACCCAACATAGTCAGAGTTCCTTCGGTTATTATTCCTGACGCCTTGCATGTTTACTTAGGTTTTTGGAGTGAATTTTAATTTAACATTAGGCTCTTAAAGATGGTGCGTTGAATCCACGTCGTGACGTAAATTTGAATTAATTCAACTTTAGTTGATGCGGTCTTAACAGTGGCAAATCTTGTGTAAAGTGAGCTGCTTTGAGGTAGTGAGGACTGGCGAAAAACAAACCGTGTCAACATTAATCGAAAAGTGGAGCCGGCGAAGAGCTATCTTGTTTTTGAAGCTAAATAGCGAATCTCATAGCCCTTTGCTGCTGTGCTCTTTAATTTTTTCCTCCATTTAGGATCGAAGGATTAAATTAGCATTTAAGGTGTTCTGTAAAAATTTACCCAATTAAGTTCGGTGGATTGTTCTTTTCTCCCCTCTAGGTGGAATCGTTTCAGGGGCTCGCTCAGAATTGTCTTTCTGCATGCATCGAGTCACTAATGGTAGCGCAGAAACGCGTTGAGGCACGAAGGTCGACGAGTGACGGGCAGCTTTTCTTCATTAAGCATCTCCTCATCCTCCGAGAACAGTCGACCCCCTTCAATGTGGACTTTCGGGTGAAGGAAACAAGTTTGGACTTCTCCAGTATTAAAAGTGAGTCGCCTTATTCGGTATTTGTAGATTTCACCGGTGTCGGTGTGCAGGGTCTTCTCCCCTTGACTTAATACATCTGCCCCAGTCATCTCCATTCCTCCAACTGGAGACGCATGTTACCGTTAAACATTAGTAACAAATTTGCTATATCGATACACTTTAGAAAGGCTAACCTAATTCATTGACATGCATTATTAACGTTGACATCGTTGTTCTACAGGCGCGGCCTACCAAGCAATCCCTAAGTTGGGCTCGAAGATTTTCGACTTTAACCGCACAAACAATTTGCTGCGTCTATTGCTCCTTGAGGGACCTACAGTGGTGGACACAGATGTCGACTCCCGACGTCAGCTGGATCGAAACTTAAAAGTCACCTGTGAGGCATTTATATCTACCTCCATCACCGCACTCATCGGCCAGATCAGTCATCTTCTCGACAAGGTGAGCACTGTATCAACAAAATAGTGCGCTCAGTGATCACATTAGCTGATTGCCACTTTCGATCGTCTTTCTATTCGCATATCTTTTCATTTTTATTCGGTCCATCCTTCTCTTCATCAGAAGTGGTCCAAATAATGGGCCAAACAGGGAGAGGGTTGTTTCCCATTCTTGAATATGAAAAACATGATTTTTGTTCACGATTTGACTAATAGACTAACAGACCCATGTTGGGAAATGGCTTTTATTTCATCGTTAATAAAAGAACCAAATAGATAAGTGGTTATCTCAACTTCACTGGTTAAAGAGGCTCACAAAATCACATTGACGAAATTGTGCCTCAGGCGTGGGCATTGGTGATGACAGAAGTGGGAAAACGCTTGAGTACTGAAGTGATGAACTCCTTGAAGCACCAAACAACAATTACTCCTCGACTACATCCTAAAACTAAAGGTCGAGAGTCAGGGAATTCCATTGTCGTCATCGTCGATAGGTGCTCTCCTCATAGCCAGCACACAACGCCGGATGTGGTCTCCTGTCTCATGCCCTCTTGCGTACTACATCTCGCTGAAGGAGGAAAGATACTATCTCATCCTATTCTATTCTCATCTAGTAGCATTTCTTGGCCCTGGAGGTATCCACTTTGTGCAATCTCTTGATTGCATGTGAAATAGGGATGGATGAATGAAGAAAGTGGAAATTTTATATGGACTGAGTTTACTATCGACGTCTAATCACCAAACAGCTATTTGATGAGGATGAGAAGTTACTTGGAAGCTAACTTCGCTTCTCGATTTGTCCATCGTCAAACTTTTAACTGTGCTTATTCTCTTACATCCAGGCAAAGGTGCAGACATCTCAATGCTCGGTACTTGGCCCGCCAAATAAGTTGAGGGATGAAGTGGCCGCGACTGTTCGTCTACTCTCAGTTGGCCAGTCGAATTTGTCATCTGAAACAAACACTCTTGCCGTTATTCGACACAAATTAAACCTCTACCTGGGTAACGCAAACACGGTGGCCATCATACTGAGACCAATTGAGAACGGCGTGGTTAAAGTGTGGCGAAAGTTGGTAGACGCTATTGCTAAGTATTATTCGGAGGAGGAGAGGATGCTGATTGCCTGTCCAACGGAAAATCAGGTTGGTCACTTCGAATTGTGGATGTAATTATTGAATAGGTGCCTATTTGTTCATAGACCTGACTTCATATACATGATCATAAACAGTAGTTTGGAACCCCGTTTCAGATCCGGCTACTGTTTCACACGTGATGTGGATACCACCGGAATTGGGTGGATGAATGAGCGGCTGTGATGAATTTCCAATCCAACAGTGTCAAAATTACTCTTTGGATATTTCATTGTATTATGTGCTTTGTACCTGAGGTACTTGGGTCTGGTTACTGGCTCAGTGTCGCGGGTGGCGGTAAATGGCTGCGGGTGTGGGGTAGCATATTTGATTCCTGACTTTCGGTGATGCCTCGGTAGATGCCTTGCGGGTATGGTGTCACTTGCTATACTTCGTCTTTCTAGTAGCGAAAAAGAGCTTATTTCTGGGGTTGGACCTAAGGTCAGTTCACGCATACATTAGCCAAAGAAATACCTAATGTAGCTGATAGACATGAGTGGAATAGGTGAAAAGTAGTACAGTATGTTAGGGTATTTCAACCTATGTTATTTGTTTTAAGTGGTACTGTTCTTCGGCGCCACTCTAAGACTATATCTCTCTATATCCAAGTTCTGGTTGTCTGGTGATTGGCAGGTCTATGGCCGGGAATTTTTGGCAATGTTCTCACTAGTATGTCTCTCCTAGGTTGTTTCATGGTTTCAGTTTGGAGTGGCTGTTGGATAGACAGGATGTATTGAAATACCGAGCACCTGATCTAAAAAAAATAGGTTCGGAAGAAGACTACCAGAAGATCATGTTGTTCTTTATCGATGGTATTTCTGATAGCACGTAAACCACTTTTCAAGTCATTCAAGCATTTGGCAAGAGCGTAGAAGTGCGTCAACAAGTGATTGCAACTGCTTCCGTATACTTTCGCCGATTTTATGGGAGGTGGGTTATTCAAACATTTATTCGTACTCTCCTAGAACTTCTCTTAAATCCATTGACCCTTGGTTAATGGCACCTTCGTGCCTCTTTTTGGCCTCTAAAGTGGAAGAGTATGGGGTTATTCAACCTAAGAGCCTCATCGCTGCTTGCTGTAAAGTTGGTGAGTTGTTAATGCATACTCACATACCTAGTAAATAACCAGTATTCAAAGTACTTCAAGGAATACACTTATCCCTACAGGACGCATGATGTATTTGAATGCGAGTTTATTCTTATGGAGGCTATGGTTAGTTAAACTGCCGTTTTTAATGTCACTACATGCTTATTTATAACTACACCTGTTTAAATGTTACCGTAGGACTGCTCTCTCATTGTGTTCCATCCTTATCGGCCGCTTCTTCAATTCTTTGATGATTTAAGGCCTCAATTACTCGACATGGCTGATGAACTCTTGTCACGAGCTTGGTACGTTAATTCGTTCAGATGGGATAATCAGCAGATGTTCATCATAAGAGCCATTTCTTATCTACTCATGTAGGAGCATTGCTAATGACAGCCTTCGTACGGATCTCTGTCTTCACTATCCTCCTTATCTAATCGCGCTAGGTAGGAGCACTTCGAATTGTTATAAGATCTCCATGGTCATTAACCTTTCTCTTCATTTTCAGGCTGTGTTCAGATGGCGCTTGTCAGTTTAGCAAGAAACCCACCCGCTAGTTCCGGAAACATACATGACCACCACTCCTTGTACTTTTCGACTCAATCTAGTATCAATCCTCTTGCCATTGCTGAACAGTGGTTCAGCGAGCTAAATGTCGACGCTGAGAAGGTATCTTTTTCCGCTTTTTCAAGTCCACATCACATCAAATGATCAATTCCTTGATTCCACAGGTTCTTGAAGTAGTGCGACATTTGTTAGCACTCTACGATCTGTTGGACCATATAGACATGGAAAATGAGATGCCTGTTCTTCTGATGCAAAAGATGCCTCGTCCGGTGGTTCAACAACCTCCCCAACAGCAAACTCAGGCCCAGGGTCAGCCCGGTGCCTCGAGGGTAATTGATGGCGGAAACAGTGGTGCTGCTGCCTCACATCACAAAAGAATGGGACAACCGATAGGAACTCATCATATGGCGCCACCCCATCCTCCGCCCAATGCTGCTGGTGGACCTCCCATGTGATTCGAGTCGGAGTATTTGTATATACATTGTAATTACTTGGCGCATTCATCCTTTAATCCTTCAGACTAAAGAGACTAGAGTTTAATTAGTTCGTGGTTTCCGATTTTGCACTATTGTCCATATCTGAGTCTCGTCTCTTCTTTCAGTTTGACTTTGGGCATAGTTTGGTTTTCCTTCAGCTGCTGTCTGTGTTAGAGGCATTTTTCCTAGGTTGATTATCTCTGTTCATGTGGAGACTAAGTCATGTGATCAGCATTGATCTCGACTTTTCAAGCCTCGCCATCCGCTTTAAACGCAACTTTTGGTCAGTTGATTTAGAAATTATTTTTCAAGTTCCCTCATCCTTCGTTCCTCATGGGGCCAAGCACTACAACTCATAATGTGAGAAGGCGACGTGCTCTTGAAAATGACAGAAAACGACGGGATATTTTAGGCAGTCAGGAGTGTAAGGATCAGGAGTCTCAAATTGGAAAGATCAAATCAGATGCTATTTTATCTAGGTCAAATATTGAGCATATTCCTCCACTAGTGGAGTCGTCCATGATGACGAAAGGTGATGCTGTCCTTCCCATTGATCAGGTTCTAGCAAACCAGGTGGAGCGATCAGAACTTGGCCAAGCTTTGACCGTTTCTACTCCTCTCAATACAGTTAATAGCATTATCCTAAAACAACCTCTTAGCAACGAAATTTGTGAGCCCGCGAGACTGAGGAAGAGAACTTCGAATCAAACAAGAAACGCTCTTAGTATCGATATCAACGTCGCTCCCTTACTTCCCTTCACACCTCAAGAGTCCATCGATTTGAGTGTTTGTATGTACGAGAAATCTGTCAATCCTCCTGCCACTCTAAAGCTCACTCTGTTGCCAAAGGATATTGATACGCTTCGTGTTATACAGCAGAAGCAAGGGAGTTCAAGCAAACATTTTTCCAAGCATCAGGATACTTTGAAGCCAAAGGTCAGATGCAGAAGCAAAGGTCAAGTGTCGCAACTGTCAAAGGCGCAAGGTGTAATCACAAATACCACACAAAACACAGTACCGTTGTGCCTCCGTTTGAATTTGGATTCCACTTCACGAAATCCTCAGCCTATGAAAAACCTAAAAAGCTCTCATCCCGCCGAAACTGGTGGAAAATCCCTCTGTCCACGCACTTCCAATTTGCATTTCGACGGTGACAAGTTCGCGGAAAATGACTTTGTGCTTTTACAACAACAATCCAATTCCAGTGCTGGATGTGCCTCTAATAAATCACAGAATTGTGAGTCTAGTGGCGGACATAATTCCATAAACAGAACATCCCAAAATCGAAGAGTAGGCACCTGTAAAACACATGGGGGTAGAGGCAACAAATATTGTGTGCATGGACACTCTCTTCCACCTACACATCAGGCAAGCACATACCTTTCACAGAATTCCAGGGGTGGTTCTCTCTCTGATCTTAAAGCAGTTCATGATGCTCGTACTACTACCGTCAGAATAGTTCCAACAAGCGGCGCATTTTCGGGTGAGAATTTGGTCGGATGTACCCACATGAATAGAACTGACGTCGATGTGATTGATGAGTGCAAAGTGGATGGAGAATCAAGTTCAGGGCCATGTGGTGGTTCACAACAATCATACGTTAGTCAAGCTGGCTCCAACACTGATGATCTGTCCCTCCAAGTATTCCTCGATGCTGACTACGGGCCTGACACCATTCCTGTTATCATAAGCAAAAAGTCCAATATTCGTAGCTCTTTAGCATCGCACGAACGCAGACAGTGCAGAGGTAAATCAGTGCCTTCAGAAACCCACAGATCGGTGGGTTCAAAACATCTTGAAAGGAGACTTTGCTCAGGGTTAAATACGTCTGAAAATTCGGTAAAAAAGACCGTCAAAGGACCACCCGTAATTTCAGTCTACAAAGGTAATTCTAACGGTGCTTCATCCAAATGTGTTCAAGGCAGTGATTTTCAACTGACAAATACGCGAACACATTCGAGCTCCTGCATGGTAGGTCAGTCTAAACGATGGCTTTCTGAGCTCATTGATGAGGTAGCTCAAGAACTTGTTGATAGTGTGGTGGATACGGCTTTTAGAAAGATTGATGCTGAAACATCACCCTCACGTTCCATTCGTTTTGAGTCGACACCGGATGCTGGCACAGAGCACAGAAATTCAAAAACAATGCGATTCATCCTAGATCGTGGCACCCATAAAAAACCAATAAAATTTAATTTAACTCTCTGTTTAGTTGATGATGCAAATCAGAAGCATTGCTTCAGTCCAGTGTTTCCCAAAGATTATCATATTCTTCGAACAGGCACATCTTACTTAGCACCCACTGAGGAAGGACGAGGAATGCTCAAATCTCTCAAGTCCTTTGCCTCAGAGACTACTGAAGACGTGGCTGAGGTGTTGGTGGATGATGCTCTTTATTCTGCTGTCGATTTCATTTCAATGGATCCATCAAGGCTTACAGAAATGCGAAATATTGAATTACAAGAAGCGCCAGTTGGTGCAAAAATAAGGTCATTGGTGGCAAGTATAAATGGAGAGGAGAAGCCGGTGTCGATGGACAAATCAGGAGCTTACAATTTAAGCATTGACAAGGATATGTTGAACGGTTTGATGACACTGCAGTTGGGCTTCTCTGTTCTCTCTGACTCCGAGGAGAAGAAATCAGACTCAAGCCAACATACGCAATCTCATTTTGTTACACCAGAATGCAGTGTCAAGAGTGAGCACTCATTTGACAGTAGTTGTGGTTGTCATACACTCAAAGACGGCATTACCCGCTCCCAAACTGCGGAAAGACCAGGAATACTAATTCAACTTCGAGAAAATCCAATTACTCCAGCCAAGTCTTCACAAAAAGTGAAGGAGGCTTGTAATACTGCCAAACCTCTTGTGCGAAAAGGATGTGATATGACAGAGTTTTGTAAAAATTTGTGTCAAGAACAAGCGCCCTGTGTCTTTCCATACAATGCAATTGAGAAGGTCTCCACACATTACTCCGAGTGCTGTAGTTTTATCTCCTCATTTGGCTTCGACGACATAGCCAAGAATGCCAACTTTTCAGGACATCTGGAGAGAGGCTCGTCCGGCAATGTATCAGAAGGTCCAAATTTATCCTTCTCCATGTCTGGTATTAATGAACAACCCCAAGAGGAGAGACGCACCACCGTGCTCCAAGACCAGCATCCTTGCACTGTGACAATGGCACCATCGGTGTCGCGCCTCGATGTGCCTATAAAACCGCCTGAAGCATATGCCAGTAATGACACTGTAGAAGCCAACACCTTCGATCCACGTGAATCAATGGAGGCACCAACAACACGATGTTTGGAGACATTTTCAAAGGCGAATGCGCCATCAACATGTAAATACTCCCAAATTTCCCCCCAATGTGAATCGACACGTGGGAGTAAATTTGATGATAGTCGTGTCAGAACTACACCTGTTGGTGAAATTCCAGCCGTGTCAATGCCAAGTTGTCTTAAGTTTGTACAAACTGGTATGACTCTACCAGTTAATGAAGAGGTAGCCTCATGCTACCAAATGGATGGTGATGAGGTGTGCCTTTGTAAAAATCGTGAAACAACTGATGGGGGTAATGCATCAGCGATGGAGAGGACACCCACTTCAAGCAACCCTCATTCAGCACAAATGTTGGAGAAAAAGTCATCTGAAGAGACTTTTTCAATTCGTTTAAACATTCGTCTTCCAAAAGGATGTGGTAAAGTAGTGAGTCATGCCACAGCTGATCCAAAACCGTTTGTCAATTTAAGTGAACAAGGCCTGCCAATCTCGTACGCCAATGTCTCCAATTCGGTCGCCTTGACGGAACCCCCAACATCAGGCATCGTTGACCATAGGAGGTGGACACGAGCAGCATCGTCTATTGTCATGCTTACAGCGTTAAATCACTTTCTCAGCAGTAGGTTTTAAGTGAGATCAGAACATTTATATTTTACAATGGATTTTAGGTCGCCTCCCTTCCTCCCTTTGAGTTACTTCACTTTTCCTTTTTTTTGATTGTTATTTTAATATCGCTTAATCAATGAGAGTGGTGAAGCGAACGTTGTGTTTCATTTCTATCATATGTGCTTTTTGTATTGCAAAACTTATGGCTTATACTTTCTTCACATCTGTGGATTCCTTTTTTTGCTATTTGTTGTTTTGGAGGGAAGAAGGTTCCAATGGGATTGGGATGAAATTTGGTGTCAAGGGTATTCTTGCTTGAAGAGTGTTTCCTCTTACTTTTCTATGAATTTGTTCTCCACCGACACAACGCATGACAAAAGTATGGAAGACTTGTAATGTGTAAAGACTTTCTATTTGGTAGTAGAGGGCGTTTGCCACGGCTGAATAGTTTTATGTAGAGAATGAAAGAGAATAACGAGGGATCTAGGCGTGGCGCAACAAGACAAAAGAAAGATGAACAGCAAAGTGATCGCAAGTCACAAGGATAGTCGAATAGACAAAGCGGTGTGTATTGTTCTTCTCTTCCTTTGGCTAAATTTTCTTGGTGGTGTCTCCCTCGCTGCACCTTCGCCACCAGACGCCACAATGTAGTCGGTGCTGCTGCACCAGTCATCGGCTCTCATCAGACTGTACTCCATCTTCTCAACAGCTTCGACTGCAATTAGAGGTATATTCGATTGGAGTGCAGGAGTCTGAGGCAGCAACTTTTGACGACCATCAAATGTGTGCAGAGCCAGACGTTGGTGCAAATGGAATGGGTAAGAGGGAATGGGGGGTTGAAGAACACAGTCCCGTGGAAAAGGCTGTTCACCGAAATGCCATCGCCAACGTCTCTTCACATTCGTGAAGAGGGGACCCCCGAAACGAAAGATCTCCAAATGGTAATTACTTGTCTTTGGAACATGGAAGGGAGGGTGGGAGTGGATGTCGAGCACAGATGCCGTCATTATCCCCCTGTTGTGGAGAAGTCAAATAACCTCCCACTCGAGGCGATGTGCTCTTCGTTTGCATCGTTAAAGTTTGTCACAGATGATGGAGACGATGAGAGAAGTAGTACTGTAGTCGAGTTCACTTTCCACCGGCACCAGTGCAGCGTGGTGCACAACTTGAGTTTGGTGACAGGTTGTCAGAGGATGAGTGCATTGAGTAGGGGAGTAATTTCCCTCTTTTCTTACACTTCACTCTCACTAGATAGGCTGAAATGGAAGGTGGTAAAAGGAAGCGTTCGTCATTCGCCAGTACCACTGAGTGACAGGGCTTGTACATCCTTCAATAACTAGATTGCATGGCTCTAGTGACAACTTACCATTCATTTGTGATGGAATTCGGACTTCGTTTCGTGCGTAGGCTCCATATCCCGTTTCCTACCACCAACTTGGGACTATGACGTGAGCAGTTGTGCACATCACTTGACGGGAACTAAAGGGAGGGAAAGGGTATTTTGGCATGTTCGCCTCAAACGCGATTCCTCCAACCTCCAAATGACGACTATCACACTTTCGTGTCAGTAAATTGTAAACCCTCATAAAATGCCACGCCTTGTGCCTAAAAACGTGTGCGTCCCTTCCATGTTCCACAGGCAAGTAATTACCATTTGGAGATCTTTCGTGTCGGGGGTCCCCTCTCCACGAATGTGAAGAGGCGTTGGTGATGGCGGTTCGCTTGTTTTGGTCTATCCTCGAGCCAGGCCATAGCCCCTCTCTTACCCTTAGGCCTGATTGCACACCTCTAAAGTGAAAAACTCAGAAAGTCACACTACTTTTTACAAATAGTGTCCCACTCGCCTGTTTTACAGTGATTCCGACACAAAGTCCACCTTCAATTCCCGCTTAGTCAACAAGCTAAATTACATTTTGAATAGCCGCTGAATCGTGCTGTGCCACCTGTCAGTAGAACTGATGACCACCCATTGCTTTTTAGTCTGCCAAACCCGCTCTGATTCTCTTCTTTACTTCATTATTTTTAAAAGCATGTCAAATACCTTCTCCACACTTGTAAAATCGACAACTTCGTATGCTAACATTTTGCCAGGATATTTAAGAAATGGTGGAGGAGAGAACTGATAGACTGACTCAAAGTGGGTAACTCGACTCCTTCACTTCAGGACAAGTCGAAAATTACACTCCTAACAGGTACTCCTTAAATAGGTGCTTGCAAAGAAGGCACGCCCTCTCTCTCGCACCCTGTTTAATTGTCAATACATGTTTGACAAATGTCAGGCAAGATTAGCTTCCCTCTTTTTAACTGTAAGGTGATATAAATAACTGGTTTCAATCTACATGGCCGTACATTCGAAATAAAACCTTTTCACATTTTCAGCCTTCCTGTTACAAGTTCAGCCCACATGACAAAAGATGGCCTTCAAAGTGACCGCCATTAACAGAGACAGTCGCATAAACAAAGCATTGCAAATCCTACTCAAAACAACAGTTGTTGAACAGGGCAAACATTGAATTAGGTATTAGGAAGAGAGAGGGGAAGCAAGGAGGAAGTGGAGGTGGTGGTGGTGGCGGGGAAGGAGGGAGCGAAGGAACCTCCCGACTCTCCACTTCTAACACAACTATTCGGATGACGAGTGATGACAACCGTCAAAGGTGGGATGAGGTGTACGCAAATCTCACACACCCACGAACACAATGTGTATCGCATGAGAGATGCCTAGCCAAATTTCGTTCATTTGTGTTTAAGTAATAATGATGATGAAATCTATTTGCCAAAAGAATGTATTCTTAGGGCGATTGGAATGACAATTTGTGACGCACGGAGGCTGTGGAATGCACGTGATGAAGAGGTCAATCAATAGGTCTTACACGTGGAAACGCATCAAAGGTGAAATTGTTGCAGGAAAGTGGACACAGTCATGAGGAAGGTTCAATAGGGCTGCCAGGAATTGACACTTCTGCCAATTGATGTCATGCAACATCAAATGTCATACACTCGTTTGATGATACCGTCTTGTTCAAACAATAGCCGTAGAACTCCTCAAGTGAATGGTAAAAACACATCAAATCACAAGAAACGCCATTCATTCTTCAAGTCAGACGAGAGGAGTGGACATGTTAGGGGAAATGAAAAATTAACCGTTATTCGTACTGCTAGCACTTCACGACGACCAAGAATTACAAAATTGGTGGTAGGTAAAAAAAATACGCATTCAGATCATGTGATGCGAGCATCACGAGTCACTGCAATCAAAGCAAAGCGTCCACGTAAAGTTTCACGTAAGCATGTCTCACATCCGCGCTCACGAGGATCTCCAACTTCTGGTGGCACCACAAAGAAGGGGACGACAGAACCCCTTGCACATGAATCCAATACTGAAAAGATGCCAATGCCAAACATACCAAAAATTCTTGTGACGCTAGTAGAGAGTGAAAGTTGGCAGTCCTCGTCCAGCACTACACAGAGACGAGCGCCCTACACACATAGCGGAGATTCAATGGGAACCCCAGGCGAGGCAACCGACACAGATGAGGCTGTGGAATCAGGTCAGATGTCGGACACATTGGACAGTTTAGAATGTTTCACAGATCCACAAAGTGAAATGCTTAGCTGTAACGATAATCTTCGACTAAAGACACAAGTCTATACGACTATTGGAGAAGTAGGAAGAGCATATCCCGCCAAGGTAAATCCGTTTACTCCATCAAACTCTCTCTATCATAAGATCAAGGATACTTATTTAAGTGATTTTAAACAAAATTCACATCCAACCGTCCATAAATGTGGTGTTATACCTCTAAGCACAAAAGATGGTGCATTGCCTCTCAGTAGTCACGAGGAGTTGTCGTGGATTGGATGGAATTCAGCAAATTGGCATTGTCAAACCACTCCACAGTCAACAAGACAAAGAAATGGAGAAGGTGTGATGACCTGTTTGGCGAATAAAGTGGACACTAGGTCAATTGCAAATCGTTGCAATTCGTTAAGGCATAAGCACGGTTTTCCTTCAAGTCAGACTCAACTATACACAATGGTCGATGCTTCAGGCGAGAATGATGCAATGAAGGTGACACACATGTCACACGCCAAGCCCAAGGAGGCGGATTTAAGTGAAACCGGTAGTAGAGCCATCATCTCTCAGGCCACACATACCCAGGCGTCTGTAAATGTTAAAAAGGAGGTGGAAATTGGAGCAGGAGCTGAATGTCATCAAGCAGATCGTGAGCCCTCAACAGTAGGCAGTTTATCCACTCTACCTCCATTCACCTTACCAGAGCATTGTACTCATCAAGATTGTTGTGATAGTCCAAAAATTGTTTGTTCTCCATCTCATAAACCTGCCTTAGCAGGTGTAGTAACGACAGAACGATGCAATGAAAAGCTTACTTTGCCAAATGATGAAGTGTATCTGCAGAGGAGTGAACTTTTTACGCCTGAAATGAATGAATATGAGGATGAAAAAGACGATTCAACACTGTGTAATGATCCACTCTTAATACTGACCAGTTCGGAATTTGTGGAAATCAAAAATTCAACTGGCATAGCCCCAGAGAGGATGCAGAGAGATTTGCGAGAGGATGCAGTTACAATTGAAAGTCAAATGCCACGTAAACGCATGATTTCTATCCGCACCAAAACTACAATAGAAGATCAAAAGGATCAAAGGACTGACACCTTGGACACCTCCTTCTACACAACTTGTTTAGCCCGCAAGAAGTGCCTAATGGAGGAAAGGGAGTCAAACACTGCATCAACTCAAAACTACATTCCATTTAGTAGTACTTTTGTTAAACAATGGAGTCTTTCGGAGGAATCAGTTCATACAACTGTTGAATTAAGTCCGACTTATGCCATGGAAATTGTCATTACCTCCCCAAGTTCAAGACTGCAGCAATGCATCGAAAAGGATATAAAGGCAATCACACCTTTGACATCAGTCAGTGTCTATTCAAGAACTTGTCAATCTGCAATGAAAGGTGAAGCCTTCTCTGCTCATCCATTCAACTTTCCTTCACATAATCAAACTACGCTACAGTCAGGCCAACCAATTTCTCTCACTTCAGTCTCATCATTTGAATCCGAGTTGCCATTGTCCGGCGATTCAATGGCCACACTTGCATGCTTCAAAGAGAAGGCAGAAAGGGGTGATAGGCTTTATGACAAGATAGCAACTTGTCAATCAAAAGAGCTACCTTCACAAGCTTTAATTCATCCAAAAAATGAAAATTTAGCCTCAATAAAGAATATGGTGGAAGTTTACTATGACATGAGCGTGTGTATGACACCGGCTGGATCCGAAAGACGTAGAAGCGGTTCAACAGCCATCAACGTTTTAGTAGACTTAAATCAAAATACTTTTTCTATGGCCGATTTGGACAGCTCTATGATCACCTCTGAGATGGATGACATTACCTTTGTGCATGACTTTCAAAATGTTGGCAGTCAAAAATGTGGCCTTAAAAGAATGAAACGGAATGAGAAGTGTAAAAGGCAAATTCAATCGTCTCAAGCTGATCCACGCAGATCGCGTGTTCTTAGTACCTCAAAATTTACACAAAAGCATTCAAAAATGCCTAGAAAGATATTTTACAAGGCTTCAAGAGGAATGCAACGAAAACATCAAGCTAATCGCCTACCTGTGTTGAGTTTGGAGGGTGTAGCACCCGAGAAGATTCCCCACGTCGGCAAAGAGGCCTCCACCACAACCACGGAGACAATTCGAGGCTCTAGAGGGATAACAGAAGCTTCAAAAGGGATACGATGCTTTAAACCCTTGAGCAGAAGATCTTTATCTCCCTTTCACTTACTACCGCCTAAGAAAACACAAAGTGGATTATTTGACAATCACCTTGCTCAATTCAAACGACCCTCCTCGTGGAATAGCACCATATTTACTGGTCCCAAAAGACCTTTCATAAATTGCGCACGAATTAAAAAACGACAAGCGTTGGCTTATGAGAAGAAGGTTCATCAGTTGTCGGCAGGACGACTTCTCAATGAAAATAACAATGCCTCAACTCGGATAGAGGGTCACTGGAGGTTAAAGTGGACACAAGTAGAATTGTGGTGTCAAAATTGCAACATGATGGTAAAAAATACCTTCTCACCGTACAGAATTCAAAGTGTCAATCAATTTATCCAAAGGATGGTGAAATTGACTAATTACATAACACTTTTCCACCTTTTTCACTCCGTCCTTTCATCACCTATCACAGAAAGGCGGATTGCCTATTTCCATCAAGGTGACAAGGTGGAAGGTTATGAAGAGTTGAACTATGTACTTCCTCACGTCTACACCATTCTTTACTTTCACAATCAAAGCATTAGTTTTAAGTGGAAACATTATTTGGGGATGAAGAAGAAGAAGACTGATGGTCTGACACTTTTAAGTCCTTCTATTCCTCCCCTAGTGTGTCTTTCAATTTTTCCTCTCCTATCAAACGCTCTGTGTTGTCAAAGCCTCCACGTCAACAGTGCACCAACAGCATGTCAACAGTCATCGAAATCTTTCATACATTTGCCTAATTTTGATGTCATTTCTGAGAATCAAGAAGACAGTGTGGAGGTGGAGTGAAGCTTCCCATGTTTGTGTATCAGTGTGGGTGGGTGGGTTGGTGGGTAGGTAAATGTAACTACAACTTCCTTTGTTTCACTTTTGCCTTCACCACACTTCGATGTAACAAAGCTGACAAATACGATTGACTTGACAATAACTTAGTGCAGAAGACGTGAAAGAAAAGCGGTCTCAATCCACCTCACTACAGTCGTAAAGGCCAATTGACCCCTCACTTTATCTGTCGTCAAGACTCGACGTCCGAAGCAGTTGTCTGTCTACTTGTCATATTAGTTATGAGTTCTACCGCTTTAAAGTGTGTGCATGTATTGTCCAGGTTTGAATGAAGAATGGGAAGGGCAGAAGACCGTCCCGTCCTCGCCAATTAGTTTGACATGAGTGCATGGGAAATGGACAGGTGGACAGTAAAGATTGAGTATGAGAGGCGATGAGTGAAAGTAGACTTTGTTAAGTTGTTTAAAACATCTGTTGTAGGTGTTGTGCTTGAGAGGTGAGGAGATGATCCCCTTAGACGACAGCAGACGTCTCCTTTGCTCTGCCGTTCTGTTGGAAGGCTAAGGTTGCCCTATTAGGCAAAATACTTTCAAACCAGTCCATGCGAAAAGTTTTAGATGATGAAGGTGGTGTTTATTCTGCATCTTTTTCAAACATCTCTTTTAGATTTTGTCGTGGAGCTACAAACAGGTCAACCATCTAGTCAACAATCCATGGGACCGCCTCCGTCGATGCTGTTAATGGGCCAACAGCTTGACAAGACTGTTCCTCGAGTGGGCAGTCATCATCACTCCATCCATAGTGCCCTCCCCAAAGGGAGCCATTCACAGGTAGAAGAGGATACAACTCTGCAGAAATTTAATACGGAACGATGAACACCTATTTCCACATTTTCCCACGTCTGAGGGGCAATTGGAAATATTTGCACTGATGTTTCAGGCTATGGATGGGATGACCATGTGGAAGGAGTCCAAATGAAAAGAACGAATGTCACTTTTGGCTCTCAAAATGCGCCATTGAACGATGTCACTGTGTCAGTGGTCCTCAGTGCCAGTGCGTTGTGACTGCACTGCAAACTCCTTTCATTTTCGGAAAATTCTTGTAAGTCACATTTATGACAGAGGAGACAAAATTTCATCTTCACCTGCGTTAGTTGTCAAAATTTCCCGTTCTAAGAGACAGTTATTAAGAAATTAAGCGTCACTAGCTTTGAGCCATCCAGAAAAATCCGTATTACGATCAGTAGTTGGATCAAACTAACAGCCAATGCCGTCCAGATGCCGTAAAGGTTCTGTGGCGGCTTAACGCGATATTTCCATCAATTGGCTTTGTTAGAGTGATGGATGAATGAGTGTTCGCGCTTGAAGAGTTTCTCCATCGTGTCTTTGCCTTCCAAACATGTCAGCATTTCCGTCTCCTTCTATAGCCTTTAGAGGTGCCTTCAAGCACTGCTTGTTCGACTATGCGATGTTATTATCCTTAAATAATTACAATTGGTAGCAAAGTTTAGACCTCTGAAAGGTCTAAAAATGAACACAGAATGGTGATAATGTGTTAAACTGAATGCTAAAGACGAGTTCATGTTTCACCAGTCACGTGTCAAGCGAATTGATTTTCATTTTTAAGTTACCGAGAGACCTTGGAGGCAGCTGTGCGTGGAAAATTCGCCTACCACCCACAGAATTAATGTGTGAGGACATTGTCAGTAATTAATAATTCTTTACTTCTATCTCCTCCAACAAAAAGAATTATCATTGGCAAATAATGCAAAATCAGTTTGTTCCAGTGGCCAAAACTTCAGGCAACAGGAGGCGTGAGAAGGGCAATAAAGTAAGACACAATTGTCACCTCAAGTTGACCTACAATACCACTGGTGAAGACATCCGTATGGGCGGCAGGAAAGGCGGATTGTACTGGAGGGTTTTGAAGAAGGTAGAACTAATGCTTGGAGGTCTCACCAGCACTCTATTCAAAAGACCAGAAATGTTATCCGGTGATCCTTCAAGTAATAAAATTTGGCATAAGCTGCCTTCCTGGAAAGGTGTTTTAAAGTCTAGTGGACGGAGTAAGAAATATCGAAGGCATCAAATGGCTATGGAGGACACAGAAAGGAGTGGAAACTATTCCATAGTTGCGTCCAAAACTAATCAACAAATGTCAAATGTGGAACCGTACAACGAGAACGCGTGTGGAGGAGTATATAGACTTGAAATTAACTACTCCAATTCATCACGATATGGATGTAACAGATCTTTTCCTGGCATGCCTCAAATTCAAGGATCCAGTTCTGGACGTCCCGATAACTGTGGCACATGGGGTCAGGCTTACTCTGATCCTAGTAGAATAACTAACACTTGTGATGAATGTGGTTCAGGATTGCAGAACTCAGTCAAGTGTCCATCCAACTCTCCCATGAAATCCACAATTGACCTTTCTAGGGAGACAGACATTCGCAAGATTGCAGCCTCGTGTGTTCGCAGATACACATTGGAGGAGTCGAAGGCGCTAGCAACATCTCCACCCATGTATACGTCGGATTTTTCCTCCTCCACACCAAAATCATGCGAGAACATAAAACCTACTGCCTCCTGTCCCGGAGAACAACTGTCCTGCACCTCTAAGGTGCTAGGAAGGAAGGTTGAAGGACAAAGTGAATATTCACAAAATCCCATCCCATCACCAAGTTGGGGAAAAAGTGTCTCCAAGATGCGATACAATGATCCCATTTTGGGGGATTCAGCCGATGGTCAATATCGAATGGGATTACAAAGCTCTTCATTGCATCGATCTGGTAAACTTCAAACTGATAAACTTATGCCAACTTCCATGGAGACTTTTGATGATTCCAAAGATTTGCCCAATCTTGCCTACTCTCAATCTCGTCCACCAACAAATGAGTCAAGAAGTTGTACCAATCGAAAATCTGGTAGACAAAGTCCATGCAGAATTGCAATAACAGGATGTGAACGTCCTGTCGTGCATTCCTATGCTTCACCTGAAATTAACCCAAAAGACAAATTCAGTAATGGACCAAGTGAATATGGGGTTAGTGAGGATGTGAGTAAATTATCTTCAAGATTTCTTACCAAACATGAAGATGGCATTGGTTATGATGGTACCTCTCAACGATTAACAGAGGAAAAAATGATGAACAGAGATTTTTATCATCAATCCTCAGGCTATCCTATGTCCTCTTCATCCAAATGGAACAACATCCCAAGTCAAGATGTTTCTCGTGATTACCCACAGAGCACTCGTCCACAAGAAACACGCAACGAGGATCAAGAATCACAATATGGTGGTGAAAGTTATCAAAAGAATGCTGGAGGCTATTCCCTCCAAGTTAAGTACACTGAAGTGGAAGAGGAAGATCCACCATTTCTACCAGATGTATCTGATGATGATCGTTCTGATGAACCTAATCAAATGCAAGTAAGAGATCGAAGTCATCAGTCGCCTAATGAACCCCTGCGTAGACCGCCCTATAAAACATCGAGTAATCCACAATACACTAGTAGTAAGCATTTGACCGAGACCTACGATCCCAATGACGGTGAAGTGGACTATCAGAATTATGAAAACATTAATGGTGACAGTAGAGCGTATCGTGAAGGTTATTACAGCACCGAACCCAGAGTTCCCACATTCCTTCAAGACGAGATAAGCCATGGAAGAGTTAGATGTCAAAGACGTGCACCTGAAGATGCCTCCCCCACAACGATGCAGCGGAGTAAGCAAAATCACTTCATGGACATTTCACGCAGTCCACCTCCACCACATCGATGCTTGGAGGACATGGAACGCTCACCCACTAGGATGGGATGTACAAGAAATTTCGAATGTCCAAGATGCATGTCTCGAGCACACTCTGAAGAGTATTCAACACATTACCCAGTCTCCAAAAAGACAAGTGGACTTCGTCGAAAGCGCAGTCGCAAAAGATGCGTTTCTCGACGCCAGGCTACACAGAAATGCTCTGGAAGACCGCGAAAAGTAGTCAGGCTACCCCGCAGAGCATCAATGGAATTAGAACGTCGATATGCTCCTCAGGTGCGCAGAAGTGAATCTAGCCTGGCCTACGAGGCACCCAGAACCAATAGAGGTACCACTACAAAACGACGCTATTCACAGCCTGAGAGTCTCCGTGACGATAACATGTCAGGGGAGAATAAGAAGTGTCTTTGTAGAGCACCATCATCGAGGTGTGTGGTGGTAAATCCATGCTATCGTACTAATCGTGCTGCTTTTTTGAGGAAAAAGTTCAATGAAGAAAGAATTGATGAGGAAGGTGAACCCTGTTGTTGCGTAACCCTCTTCCGATCCTCTCCAGTACGGGGGAACAATCGTAGTCCACGCCACTTCGCTGAATCAGTTGAAGAGAGGGAGGAAGGATCCGTGGCTGACTACATGAACGGGGAGAAGGGAGAGAGAGAGCCTTGCTATGACCTCAAAGCTCCGAATTCCAGAAACGGCTGTCAATCTAAGGAACGCGATACAGAGGCAAAAAAAAATCCCGACTATGTTAGTACACCCTGTCTTAACATTGATTTAGAAGGAAAACAAATTGTTGTCAAAAAAATTGATACCACAACAAATTGTGCCAGTTCGGAATTTGCTTTATCAGAAAAGAGATGTGGAAAAAGCGGCACTAACAATGACATTTCCATAGCCTTGGGTGATAAAACCATCATAATCAAGAATCCCGGTGTCGCAGATCAATTATGTTTTGAAACAAAAAACGGAAAGTGTACTTTGGATTCTCATGACTATTCAGGATCAAGTTTTATGGACAATGCAGCATCCAGACACATGAATACCGCTAGACAACGTCAAAAGCCGCCATGTAAACGAAGATGTGGATCACCAGCAACACAAAAGCGAAGCACACCACTCAAGTCATGTTCTCTAAGGGAGGCAGCATCATATGAACACTCTACAGGCATTAAACCCTCAGTTTGCCAACCCACAGTATGTGTTGCTTTTGATTATATTCCTGATATTCAGGAACCTCCTCCAAGAGCAGTTATTAATAAAAGCTGCCCTCCAATAAAACGTGCCCCACCCAAAAGTAATGCTGGTTTCTGCCCATGCACACAAATCTCCAACGGTGCAATGCCTTGCAGTAAACGGCCTGCTAGAATAAACTCTCCATCTACTTCTCCACAATCAGGAAGTCCCAGAACCACTCCATTGCGTCAGTGGAACGCACCACCAACCCAACATCCAGCCGCGAATTCGAATCCCAGATCAAAAAGTCCTAATGGTTGCAATCCATCGAGTGATGGAAGTCAATGGGATAGCCGTAAACCACCTAATTCCTCCAAACAAACCGATGAAAGTGGTGAGCCTTCAAAAAAGACAGCTCCAACACAGACAAACAAGGTTGACGATGGCAAAGATGGTGATAGAGTAGAAAAGTGTACACAGTGTACTAAAAAAAGAGGATTTTTTGCAAGAATTTGTGATAAAATTAAGAGAAAGTGTGCTAAACTGAGTGCACAAAATCAGACCGATGAGGACACTGATGAGGATGAGGATGATGATTGCGATGCTGATGATGATGACCGCAATGGCGGTGAAGCGGATGTGTCCAGGTGTATGCGAGTAAACGATACAACCTCCTGTTCTTTGCGGTACAATGACACTCGCTCCTACAACTGTTCGGCATGTTCTACATCAAGGTGTGTTTCCAATCAAAGTCATTCCTTCATGGATATTACTGACGACGGTACGACAAACTTTCAACCTCCCATGCGTAGTTGCAACAACACAGCAAGCGAAACTACTTCCACAGATCCAAGGAATAAAAAGATGCAATCTTATTTCATTGATTGTGAAACCTCTGTCACACAACCACAGGTAAAAAAATACTTTTACCAAAAGACGAATTTAGGTCTTTTGAAGAAAGAACTAACCTTTGGTCCACCTGGAGCGTTATTTGGTTCAAACCACGCAAATTTAAACGCAACTTACTTACCCATGTTAGCATCCAGTCACAGCACTGATGACAGTCCTGATCCAACAAAAAGTTCCAACAGAGGTGTTAAAAAGGACTGTGACATGGAAGATGAGAAAAGTCAAAATAGTAACAACTTTCGCAGTAAAATGAATACATTTGATTGTTGTGCCAAGGCGGTGGGAAAGGAGGTGCCGATGGTTGAAATACAAAAAAATGCAAGTTCACAGTGCTTTGGTCAAACTCCGATAGCCCATTTTGTGCATGAGGCTACAATAAAACCACCACATCAAGGCACCACATCAGCAAAAAATGCATCTGTTCGACTGAGGCGTTTGGATAAACCATTGTTTCAAACACTCAACAGACCACATTACGAAGTTTTTGCCTTATTCAAACGTCCTTTGATCAAAAATCCGTCAAATGATTCGATGATGTATGGATTGCAAAAAACAACAAAGTACTTGGAACCACGTTGGCCACTGACATTAGGAAAGACAGGAACGGATCCAGTGACAATAAAAACGAAGCCTATGGACACCTCGGGTCGATGGGGTAGAATATACGCACCACATAAAAAGACTTCCCATGCCTTTACAAATATTTGTACTGGAGAAAATTTGCAAGAAGTTGACAATCGTAAATTTAGTGCCACCAAATCAACTGATGAAAGTGCTATGTTAAGTCAGCCCAACAAGATATGTGGATATGTTGAAATTTGTCCTATCGGTAAGCAAGCGGCTGTATTAAAACCGCCTGTAAAGACTACAAGTGGATTGGATGTTCCTCTGTGTGCTAAAAGTTGGTCAAAGTCAATGGTCACCTTTCCACCACCTTCTGTACGATCCTCCTCATTTATAATGTCGCATGGAAATACACTTTCGACTAAACCAGCCTTTCTTCCCAGAAATAGCGCACCATCATTACATACCCACCGATCCCATGGTCTGATGCCGTCTATATGGCCAAAAGTCTCGCCTAACAGCGCATATGCAAACAGTTGTAGATCGTCTTTTGAGTCAAAGCCGGTGAATTTGGCGTATGGAAGCAGTTGTGCCAATTGTTCTAAAGTTGACAATTATTTAATTAAGCCTCCATATCAGTGCATTGGTTCTTCGGAATGTAGGAGCATACACAACAGACCCATTGAAACGACAGATATGAAGACACCAATAGCTCCAGAAAGCAAAATGGAATGTTCAAATCTATGGCAAAGATCTGAGAGACCTTCAGCAACCAAAGTTTCCGGAACCCTCTTTCCTCCACGTGCTATAAATCCATCACCATTGCGAAGCTCATCAAATTCCTTTGGATTTTCAAAGCCCCTTGAAGTTATCACTGTCCAACCGATTAAGCCGATATTGCAAACACCAACCAGTTCTCTAATGTCAAACTGCACGTCAAATCAGTGTCAGAATGATAAACTTCTGTCAAATACAAGAAGTGGCATAGTATCACCCTCTCTACACTACAGAACATCAGTTGTGACCAGTGGATATGAGGGCAAGAAGAGCAAAGACATCAAGCCTTCAATCGCCACAGGTGAGAAGAAGAACGAGGAGGAGAAGGAAAAAGAGGACGAGGAGGAGGAGGAGGAGGAGGAGAAAAAACGCCCTCAATATTCTTTCCAAGTAGAAGGAAGAATATTTCAGGTAAAGGTTGACAAAGAAGGTGTCTTCCATGTGAAGGAGATGAGAAAACCGCCTGAAAACTCCTCTTCTGTACCACAGTCAAGTGATAATGGTGAGAAATTGAGGTCTGCTCCAAATGCTCTCAACAGCGATGAATCGAAAAGAGAGAGCCAGTGCCAGGCTTCACCAAGCTCACAACCAGAACCTGAAGCCAGTGAGAAGTCTGTAGAAGTTAATGATGCCTCGAATAGGGGATCCACATCTCGTTCAAAGAATTCACCCATTCATGACCTCCTTAAGCGTTCCATTAAATCATTGAGTGGAAAAATTGCACGAAAGTTTTCTAATCATGCAAGTCAACAAGTGGGAAATAGCCACACCATGACAGAGGAGGAAAAGAGATCGGGAAACAATTGTGAATGCTTTTTGCCACTCACAGTATCAGAGGTGTCGTCGCGAACTGATTCGAAGATGTTTGGCTGCAGAACTTCGCCGACCAATTGTCCTTCTAATCAAAATGGCCATCAAACGATACTCGATCATTGGGGAGAAATACCTCGTAAAGACTCGTCAACAAATAGTCAATTGCTGATTTGGGATGTAAATGTGGCTGTAGGAAGCAGTTATGCTGACGACTCACCTCACAGCAGCAAGAAGAAACGAGTGCATTCCACCGAGATGTCAGATGAAATCAGCAAACCAATCGCGTGTTGTCATCACTCAAATTACAAATCTGGTGACTGTGTTGAAAAGAGCAGTAGTTGGAATGATGAAGATGATGGCAGGGGAGAAGAATTTGACTCCTACCCCAAAACCAAGAATTCAACCCTTTTCAACTATGTCTGTCAAATGGACAGCGAAACGTCCGTGGGAATTTCGGCTTCTTTGAGTATGGGAAAGCATGATTGTATGGACACCAATACCAAGCCCGTCACCCTGAATCGCCACGTTAACCTCATGAACAGTTTGGAGAGTGAGGAAGGATCAACTTCTTCCTGTGTAGAAGTCCAAGATTCCATCACTAGATCCAACTCAGTACCGCTTTGTCTAGGCCAACAAATTTCACCAAATCGAAGTACGTCTGAAGTGGAGTTGTCAAATTCCGACACAGACAACATCATTGAAACGCCCTTCAAGGAGGACTGTTATGATCTGCATAAAGGGGTAGAGGCACAAATACAAGTTGATTTCTCTAATTGGAATAATACTGGTCAAGAGGAGAGTAGAATCAACATAAAATCTGGTGTTTATCAACATGAATCACCTAATTTTTCCAACCAAAACAACTACTTCGGATCTTGCCATGAGCAACAACTTCATCCACAGCTGACTACTCAGTGGTCACAGCAACTAGTGCCTCCCTTAAACAATTCGCTTGTCTGTGGAGACGTCAAGACAACAGCTTCAGTGGGGAGTCGAAACGGCAAAGAATGTGAAAGAAGTGTACCCAAGCTTCAAGTGGAGACTGGTAAAGACAAGTCATCCCCCCTGAAGAATGATAATAATGACGATGATGCTACCAAGTCAGTAGATAGGAGGAGCAGCAGTTCTGAAACTGAGGATCCATCACTCATGAGTACAACATTAACCCTCCTATTGGAAGGACTTTGTGGCACCAGTGGAGGTACAATGGACTCACGCATATCCTCCCCTCGAAGCGAACGTCGACGAGGCAACTCAAAATGCAAAAAACAATCCCATTCTACATCAAAGTCTTCAACTATTGGACAAAATAAAAGTGAAGGAAAGAGAATTGAGAGCAGTTGTTCAAAATTTAAGGAGAATAAGGCATACCTTCTTCGTAAAAGGCAGAATTGCAATCACACAAATGTGAGATGTGTGACCTGTTTGAAAAAACAACAAAAACAATCTCTTGATGAGCCTAAAATGCATTTCTTTGCTAAAGGCGTTTTAAAACATCCATTTCGAAAAGTGCACAGAAAAGACACGCGTTCGACGAAGGATAGCATCTTCAAGAATCGTTTTAAATATTCACGCCGATCTGAGGTCAGGCGACGACGCTCAGGTCATGTAACAAAGCCTAGTGGAGATCGCTGTTGTGGTAGTCTGAAAAGACGTTGGAGGTCTTCAAGTCGACCCAGAACACGGTCTCACACCTCCTGCCATACCCGACTCGCCTCATTTGGAACCGACACCGACGGACTTGGACCCAGTACCTCAACAGAGTGCTGTACATTTAAAATTGTTGAACCATTGGAGGGTATTGAACAACCCATTTCCGACTTGACCAGCCGCAAACACAACCCATTGAATCAACAAAGCAAGGTAGTCAGACAGTGGTCAGATCTTTGTGTAACTCCAAAAAGGGCGTCTGTTAATCCATGCAATCAAAAACACTTCCCTTCTCTAACCTCTCCCAAACCAAGAAGTGTAAGCACATCAATGAATGAAGAGGTGGATGAAAACTGGGAGGCAGAAAACTTGGCCATCTTAAGCAATCCCAATTTCACATTCCCACAACTACATGACGTCTCTCATGCCTCTGAAGCATTATCACGGAATTCCAGAGATAGAACAGAGAATCAAGACCTGACGGGAGATTGTGTAGGGAATAGGAACACTTTGAGTGTGAAAATGAGGAGCACATTGCCAATTTGGGATGTGAAGACCTCGACACCTCCTCTCCTGATTGTACCTTCGTCTGAATCCCAATCCGACGAGTCATCGTCCATCGTCCCTTCACCTATCACTTCGTTGAATACGTCAGAAATTGAAGTTTAGCTGTGGAGCCAAGAACCGCATGATGAAGGATGGAAGACCAATTGGTGGAGACTAAGTGGATGCCAAAAGCAGTCAAACTAAAGCCGACATTGAATTTTCTCTGGAGCAAAACCCGACCACGAGGATATGAGAACTTCAATCCCAACTTGAGCGCATAGTATAGTCAAAGGATGAGAGGAACATCAACAGAGCGCTGCTCAAATAAAAGCCACTGGAAATAATTCAGATTCATATCCTTCTTAATTTGGCTTGAATTGTGGGATGATAAATCGTCCCCTAAGTCACCACTTGCAAGCCACAAGTTAAAGGAAAAGATACAGACGAACACCGCTCCACCAAGGCTCACCGCATGAAAGAAGTGTACCCACACCTTTCCACCTCCCTCCCTCTCCCTTACACCGAAGGTGTTGACATTAGTTGCACCAACTTTTACCCATTTGCTTACTTTGATTTAGAACTTATAAATCACTTGTATACCTTTGTCAATTACTGACCGTCCTATTAAATTAAGTTTTCTGTTTACCATTTGCCTTGTCCACAAAGTCAACTCATCCATACTAGCATAGTCAAGTTTAGTATCTAACTCATCAAACTTATGATGACAGGTAGGCTAGAGTGGAATTTTGCCGCCTAGTGATTAACGATGGTACCTTACGTAGAGACTTAACAAGTGGGCAACTTAGTCAACACAAGGACAATGACAGAAGAGAATCAAAACATGGCACGACTGAGAGAGCCACAATTATTACCCTGTACGAATGAAATGAACCGAAAACTCGTCACCTGCTGCGGTCGTCCCGATTCACCGCCAGGTAACCCACTCCAAAATGTGATGACTGGAGGCAGAGCATTCAATTCATTGCAGAGGTAAGCCAATGTGGCAAAACAGATTGTGAAGTCCTGCACCAGAACTATGGACAGATGGTTATGGCGACTGAGTCGGACATTGGACCTTACGCAGTGAGGATTTACAAATGCGCAAGTAAACTGACTGACGTTGCCTTCGAAGTCAACCCAGGACCCTGTAAAGCAAGCCAACAGCCGTGTCCAAAATAACTCAAACACCACCGACGCATTGAATTTTCAGAGCGAATCAGTTCCAGCACTGTAAATTGGTCTACCTCAATAACATTCACATACAGGCTTTGCCATAGTCATGAAAACGACTTGATGTGTTATCAACCCATGTAAGAATAATGAAGTGTGCACCAACGCTGACATCTTTACTTTTAAACGTCTCATTGCGGAATTCTTTCTTTTTTTCTAGAAAAATCAGTGGATGGGGTATAAATCTCGCAGCACAGAGACATGTCAGCACACTCGCGCATACACACAGCTGCGCCGTGCTCACACATACAAAAGAGGTGGAGTGACACTTGACAAAAGGGAGACAGATTTGGGAAAGCAGAAAGGGGTTACAGATGAGGGAAGTTGTCACCACCACTGCCACCTACGGTGCATTGTGTGAAGCGTAGGGATACGCGAACACATAGAGGGATTTGGGCCGGAAAATAGACAACACTTTTCCGACACATCACGTTAATATAATGAAGTAATAATGAGGAACTAGGGTGGGGAGACAGATTGCAAGTGGATATGAGGAAGAGAAGGCGAAAGAGGAAATCTAACTGAGACATTCAACAACAGCTTGTCTTTCCTTTTCCGGTAACTGTGCCATACAGGCCTCATAGACCGTTGAATTAGCCTAAAAGAAGGTTAACATCATTGGAAGAGACCATTGTGAAATGAATTAACGTAATTCAAGACAACGAACCTGAATGAGCCGAAGGATGGAGACACAGCGATCGTAGACGGAAGGAGTCCCAGGGGTCGATTTTGCACCATTCACCTGCTTATCTCCGCTTCCACTGGCAGTCGAAGCACCAGCACTTCCTTCCTCCTCATCAGGACGAAAGAGACTCTTTTCCGAGAAGACACGTGCGATAGCAGCAACGATGCGCGGCAGATTGGTGTTGGAGGGTCCTCCAAGAACAGCTGGGTTGTTGGCCTCCACAAGATCACAGAGGTAACCGTAAACGTGGTCCGTTTCCTCACCATCCTCCCAAATCGGCAGCCACGAGAGCCAGCGCACGATCAATGCATTCAGATCTGTCAGTCCAGCCGGGATCAGACACTCGGAGCGGTACTTCATTATCTGCACATGAACACGAAAAAAAAACAATTGCGATAAGAATCGAGGGAGACTAAGTCAATAAATGTGGAAAGAGCGTTCCAACGAGGCAAGTAACAAAGTGTATGAGACGCCTCAAGGGAGAAAACCTGCTGACCGATAGCTCGATATTAAAAACAAAAAAGGAAAAAAGACGTTTCTGACAGTTAAAAAACGAAAAATAATGGGTGCAAAGTCAGGAAGCATAGGTGATAGACCACGCCCCTTCATACCCAATCATTTGTAAATTCGGAGTTAAATGACAAAGCTACCAATGCCACGAACCAATCAAAATAAGCCCATACCGAGGGAATACGTAAAGTAGTTATTTGTATGAAGGTGACTGACCACCATGCACACGAATAATCACACGCATTTTTTCGGACTGTTAGCATGAACACGATGCGTAAAAACAATGACCACCCGTTCTCCAAAGTACACAAACACAGGTTGGCGGCGGGCCAAAATTTAGACACTAAACCAATGAGCCACTCCCAACTATTTTAAAATACAGAATAGGCCAGACCGAAAAACTCCGTTAAGTCACCTTTGTCATAGACGACACCGCATTTTCTCGGCACAAATTGTTTTCATCACTAGCAGCATCGGGAGATTCGATGATTTGCATCAGTGGAGGCACGAAATCAGTTAGAGTCGCGGTATAGTCAGGTCCGCCGTACATGGCCATCACACCAATTCCATAGATGGCCATCTGTCTAATGTCGTTCTGCCGATGCATTATTGCCCTCGCGAAAGCAGGAATGAAGAAATCTTTCATACCAAAGGATTGGGGCCCGGCGTGCTCAACTAAATCGGCGCAGAAACAAAGACCCCACTGCATATCGGACCACGGACGGCTGGGCTCCTACAATGAAGTAGTGTTTTGTTATTTGATCACGTGAAAAAATCGTGGCCAAATTAAATTTGCCTTCGGTTAGGTTATAAAAAAACAAGTGAAAGCCATAATTAGGCAAGGATTGCAGCGGAGTTAGTGACGCACTCAAGCACCTAAGACAGAAACGTAGGATTCAGATATACCAGTGAGAAACCTACCAGAAGTTTCACAACGTGAACCATGAGCTGCTGGAAGAGGGGAAGGGCGTCCGTCTTATAGGTTGAAAATATTGCCCGCATGACTTCGCACATCTTGGAAAGAACGTACTCGTCCTCATCCTTCTCGTTTAAAATTCTCTCTTCCTCCTGCTCATCGTAGTCCTCGTCCTAAAGACAACAGAACAATGTAAATTGCAGCCTAGAACTATTTTCCACATCAATGTCAATGAGTGAAAAGAACCCGATGAAATTATCGAGCGATTAAATGTAGCCAAAAATATACGCTTTTTGGCCCCACAACGCATGCGTTCCAACAATGAGATACTAAAGCCCATAAACGATTTAAGCACCAGGAGGATAACTAATGATAAACAACAACATAAAACAGGCAACAATAAACACTGCCAAAAGCAAGCTTTAATAGCAAATGAAAACAAAGTTCCATGCCAAATACTAAATAAAAATCTACCAGTCTAGCATATGGAGGAAACTATCTTTTTCCAAGAGTAGTTCCAATAGATATTAAAAAAGCTCTAGAGGATATCCTTCACCAAACCTGTCGCTTAGCATCTCGTTCTTCGTCTTTCTCGAAATGCTCATGGAAGAATCGGTCGAGAAGTCGGTGAATCTCAGTCATGCGTTCATAGTTGAGGTAACCAACACCGAGACGTTCAATGCAGCTCGCAAGAGCCTCCAGATGGTCAGCGACTAAGTCACGTTCAGGCTCTGTGGAAATAGCCTCCATGAGCTTGGTGAACACCTTATCCCAAGCGCTGGCCACAAGATCTGGCCGCGTCTTCTTCATGCTGTCCATCAAATAGGGCATTATCTCGGATGCCGCACTACGGATCTAAGGTAACAAAATAAGGAGTGAAAGATCCACTTAATGACAGAGAGGGAGGGAGAGGGTGATACAACACGCATACCTCATCATTGAGACACAAATTGAGCATCGGTAGCATGGTGTTGAGAACGTCTTCGCAGTAGGGTGCAAAACTCTCTTTCAGCTCTCGAGCATAGCACACAAGCATCTGGCAAGCAGTCGCCTTGTCTTCAAGAATACTAGTCCTTATAGCACAGTTTTGGTCCTCGCCAATGGATAGAATTTGCCAGGATTCAGGATCAAAGCTTTCTGCTTCCTCATTATCAAGAACACAAACTTTTGGAGCCATCCGTGCTGTCCTCAAAACCTGCGGCATAACCATGGGGAGGAAGGGTTCAAAAGAGCGGCCAAGAAGCTTGCAGATACGCGCCCACGCGGTGATAATGTAGTTTACTTGTGGGTCATCATCATCGAACTGCTCATCAGCCGAGGCGTCCCCGGTTCCTTCTGCTGCGGTACCGACCTGAGTCTTCATGAAGAGAGACATAATTGAACTGGCGTCTTGCATGAATTTTTCTTTTCCTACTGCCAGTACAATCAAACTGATGCATTCAATTGTTTTGCCGCGTAGAAGTCGTAAATCTGGGTGAACTGCGTTCTCCATTATGTACTTTAGACCAGGCATGAAGCTGAAATAACAGTGCGCTGTGAGCAACCCAGTGCTTTCAGAAAAATATCAGCCTACTGCTTCAGTGCGAAGCAAGAATGAATCATGAGAATCTGACTTACCGATCATAGTATGGTGCAAAGTTTTCACCTGCGGCGTCGGCCACAGCGGCAATCGACGTGACAGTTTGCAAAAGAACAAGTTTGTGTCCTTTTTCAACCATCTCTTGGAACTTTGCCGTCATCACCTCCTCCAACTTCTTTACAAGGTCATCCAGATATTGAATTAACACACCCTAGAAAGTTGGAAAGACTAGCATTAAAGATTAAGAATGAAGATGGGAACAAAGAACTATGTTAAGCACACCTACTTTGAGTGATGTCTCACAGCAGTTTACTAGTGCAGCACCAGCATTGGCTTGCACACGGGGAACTTCATCATCGAGAACGTGAAGAATGGCGGGGATAATCGCCGAATGGTAGTTTTTCTGTAGCTTCGGTCCAAAATCTGCAGCCATTTGACCAATTGCATTGCAGGCTGCATAACGCACACGTGGATGCGGGTCTGCCATGCGAGGAACGACTGCCTGAATGATTGAGCCCAACATTCCCTCCATTTGCTTGTGACAGCCCTCGCCGCAAGCCGAGACGGCCATCAGACCAGCATGACGCTTCTTCCAGTCAGCTACAGAAGAAAGTTTGAGAGTTTAGATGATGAAGAATTGAGAATGAAAACAAGTAACTCACGATCTTGAAGCATGATAGGTACGGTTTGAGTGATCTCATCCAACACGGTTTGGGAACCCATAGCACAGGCGAAACGATCCAAAGCCATTTCAGCGGTAATTGCGTTGCTGTCCTCCTCGTCTTCTTCTGGAGAATCAGCTATGGCCCAATCAGGATCCTCTTCCAACTCCGTCATCATTTGCAACAGTGTCCTAACAAGCGGCTTTATCATATCTTTGCCAGCCTTGCGTACACTAGAGGGAATATTCTCTGACAAGGTTACTATCACCTCCAGAGCGATGTGACGTATGGGATCGGCCAAGTCGTTGTTGCAAAGAACCTGTTTATAAAGAACGTTTAGTCGTTTCAAATAAGTACTTCTACACAAACAAAGGTGAAGCTACCTTGTAACAAAGTTCCAATGTTGGTAGGAGGAAGGGACGGAGATACTTTGGCGTTGCATCAGCCATTTCTGCCAAGCACTTCAACATTGTATCATCTTCAGAGTCGGATTCGAGATTAGCGGCAACCGCCTGCAGTCATAGATCAAGGCATTAAGTTCATTGAGCCGAAATAATAGAGTAGAAAACGCAAACATGCCCACTTTCCATGACTGGACTAAATAAACTTTTCAGGTTCAAAAAATGACCCACGGCGTTTAGACGTGCCTATCTTGTTAAATTAGAAATTACCATAAGAGCAGGCTCAGCGAGATCTTTGAGAGAGTGTTGGATAGAAATTTCGGTGGAGTTTTGAACCAAAAATGCAGATAAAGCGCGGAAGCCGGCTTCGCGAACATTAAGAGAAGCATCGTGTAGAGCCTGGTTGAGCATATGACCAATATCAGACATCAGGGGCGTGGGATCAGGACCGAATACAGCGGGGACGATTGCAAAGAGGTGACAAGCAACCTCGCGGAGGCTCGGATTAGGCGATTTGAAGCATTCAAAAATAAATGGCTGGAATTCAGTCCACTGGCAGACATGATCATCACCTATCATATAAAAAATAATCTATACATCTGCTACTATCACAGAGGAGGAAGACACCCACACAAACAAATTACCAAAGTGTTCTCGAACCAATTCAGCTGCGACATCGGCTATCTTTCGACGCATCAATTCCACCGGTTCGTTAACGATCGACATAAGAAGCTGCTGCCTGATTCCATTCTTGGTTTCCTCCGGAAGGGGACCAAAAGCCTCCTCACAATCTACCATCAAAAGACGGCGACAAAGAACAGCGGCTAGAGTCCGGGGCTTAAAATACAAGATAAAAATTCTTTGGAATAACCATCCACAATAGCATTCAAGCACCCTGAAATGACATATGAGCTACTCACAACAGGTGGCAAAGTGGTGTCTGTCATGGATTGAAGGAAGAAACTGAGACGATCCGTAGCGGGGATATTTCCAAGGGTATTTTCAGCCTCAGTTCGAACATCATGATCGGGGCTTTGAAGATGCTCCAGTAGGTTTTTGAAGGATCCCAAATCCATTTTGACTGGTAGTAATTTGGTTATCCAAACACAGAAAAACAACAGAGAACTGAAGATGCGCACGTATTTTGAACAAGAATTACGAAATAAAAAAGAAGCTGTAATAACTAACATGCGTCAACCTCGTAAAAGAACAGAATGAACAAAACGAACATAAACATGAACAACTACAGCTTGTTCATGGGGCACCGTGTTGAGAACACGGAAAATCGTAGAACAACAAAAACATGAAGCGAGAGAACCATGTATATAGAATACATAACGCCGAAATTGAGATGGGTCGAGAAGTATGTTAGAGTGAGGCCAGTTATCTGCAATGCCAAACTTTGCGACACAACCATAAAAGCTGATAGAAAACACTCAAGGCAGTCGGCGCCCACACATACATGTCAAACCAGAGAAAGAGAAGTACGCACCTGTTAAAACAACGATATAGGTTCGACTAAATTGCAAACTTATAATAGCATGGCTATATAAATTGTAAAAAGGATTATCGGTTTAATATATGATTTTGGAGTAAGGCATTTTGTTAGTTCAAACCAGCTAATTTGGTTGCCTCAGAGGCACAGTGAAAATAAGTAATAAAGACATTCTAAAATTCTTAGTAAAACAAGTTTAGTAGCCCACTATCAGCTGAAAATAATAGCGCATCTTTAGTGAGTGGATAGAGTGTAATATCTGATGTTTGGCGGTCACTTTAGAATTTGTCTGGTCCCTGTACATGTGGGCCGGCCTTCGGGCCACGCTCAGTCCCCATTTGTCATGTTGTCTCCGGAATACATGTATTCGACCTCATTTATGCCTTCTTCCGCCCTATGGGAAGCCTGGGGGCGCTAAATGGAGTATTTTTTGACATGTAGGTGTAACGTCCAGAGACTGCCCATAGGGTGAGGCTGGATGCATTTGTTCCGAAGAGAACAGAGCTAATCGTCCTGAGCATGGCTCGACAGCCAGCTCACCAATACAATGGCCAGACAAATCCCAAAGTGACCGCCGAACGTCAGGTGGTCACATAAACAAGGCATTACAGCAGAATTACCAACTGACTGCCCTCATTGCCACAAACCCCATCACCAGAAGGGGCTGTGTTGCTGCCTTTTTTCAATTTTCCCATGAGCTTTACCGGATAATTAAAGTCCTCTCTCCCATGAACTACCTCATTCGAAATGCGGAGATCGCTACTCAGCCTCTAACAGCACCTCATAACGAGATTGGGCCATATATGGGTCCGCCACCAGTAGGTTACGAAGACGAAGTCTGTACGTTGGCAGAAAAAAGGAAGCCGTCGGACGGAAACCTACTGGTCAGTGTAATACTATGTTTATGCGACGACCTGAAGTTCGGCGGTCACTTTATATTTTGTCTGGTTCCTGTACACGTGGACTGGCCTTCGGGTCACGCTCAGGCCACACTTGCTCTGCCCTCTTCGGAAAACATGTATTCTATCTCGCATTTGCCTTCTTCCACCCTATGGGAAGCCTCGGCACGCTACACCGGTGGCAGCGGAAAGCGAACCCGACATTTTTTTGACGACTTTTAGGTAGAAAGTGCTTTTGAAGACCTTCTGCTGCAGCCGAAGTGGGGTTTCTCTCTTCGACTTGTTCTTCGTTGGTCGTTTGTTAGAAGCGACAATCTATTGCCCAACAGACACCACTGTCTTACTGACATTCTGCGTTCGCGTTGCTAAACTTTGCCAACTAATCGATTGATTTTCGCAAAAGAACAGTACGAACAAGCCGACGAACAACGGTTCAATTGGATGATGCACTGGTTCAATACATGCAGATACCCCAAAATTGGGTTCCCTTGACCGGAAAGTCGAAACCTCTTTTCATGGCAAGAAGGTTACAATCCAACCAACAAGCAAGACTGCAAAGGAATTCTACATCTTGGCGGAGAAATCCAAGATTAATAAGCGCATTCTGG